TCCATTCTCCTCTCGGGATCTTGGACACTTATGCACATGCGCCCGGCGTCAGTTTAAGCCACTGGGTCCGGGACTTGAACCGTAGTCGACTACGTGGGAGTCCAGCGACATAGCCATTACGCTAACTGCTGGTCCCAGTGTACTGAACATTTTTAAGACAGTTATTTTAAATTATGTGTCAGGTAGTTTAGTGATCTGTGTTTTTTATGTGTATGGTTCTTGAGCTTTGTTTGATCAGGCTACATTTCCCTTTTTCTTTGTATACTTTGTAATATTTTATTGAGCTTTGACCATTTGTACAAATTTTCTTCCACTTTAGAGGAAGGTTTTGTGCATAAGATTCTCACTAGTAAGCCCACATTAGAGGTTTTGACCCTTTCAGACCTTTTCTAAGGATGAGTCTTCTCTGGGTTTGTGCATATGCTTTTTAAGGGAATTAATTATTATTTTTTTATATTTGATCACTGTACCTCTTTATAGCATACAAACACATTTTCTCAGCATGAGTATGTTGTATATTAGTATAGCCAATGATATTACCATACACATTATCATCAACAGATTATTTTCCATTTTGTGGTAATTAAATGTTTTGCTTCTTTTTTTCCCCCAATTTTCTCCCTTCTTTTTTTTTTCCTCCTTCCTCCCTCCTGACCCCATTATCCACCCACCTTTCTCACCATCTCTGGTATCCACAGCTACTCTTCATGCTTCTTTACCTACCAGTCTTGCAGTTCTGCCAGTGCAGATATTTGGTGTATATTAAGTGGGAACATAGTCTAGTCTTTTTCATATTCTGGTTTGCTTTTAGCTTTCCCAAGTGGCTTGGCCTGTTTTATCTCAGGATCTCACAACCTCTTTTCACCCTGGCTTATGTCTTTGAAAATGAAGGCTTCTGGATCTCTAATGTGGCATACATTTGCCTCTATTTCAGTGGTTCCCAGAATATACTGCTGTTCCACCAATACTGAGTCAGGTGAAAAAGAAACCAGTCCTTCTGGACCTTCCAAATAACAAGGAATATTGGACACTTGGCCCACTTTTGTTGTTGCTGGTCATTTTCTTTCCTATCCCAAGGGAGGATCCAGGGATTGGAAGGATCTTCCAGGTTGTACCATACTATTCTGGTTAGGGATCTAGGCATAGGCATACAAAACTGCAAAATTTAATACAGTTTTTTTTTAACCGTTTTCCCCCCACATTTTATTGAATCACCAAAGATCCTAATCAATCCAAATACCCTCATGGCAAACACAGGTGACACACACATTTCCATGAACACAAGTCTAACTTTATGCATCCTATAAAGTAGCACCTAGCTGGGGCTACATATCCTACTGTAGTCATTGAATAGATATTTTTTTCCTGAAACTTTTTTTTTGTAACTCAGTTTACATTCCTTTCCTAAGCATCATCACAGCACACAAAATGCAATCTCCCATCCAGTACACACTGCATAGTGACTCAATCATGCACATTACAAAAAAAAAAAAAATTCCAATTCTAGTTCCTAGAATTATTTCCACCCCTCTTTCTGACCCTCTGTCCCTTCCCGCCCTCCTCTCACACCACCTCCAGTGTCCAAAATTGTCCTCCATTCCCTTCCCACCCACATTGCATTGATCACAGAATTTCCTACATAACCTAACTAC